TTACGGTAGGAAATTTACAAAATATCTTCATGGAACATGATCTTTACTTAATATCCTAATGATTTTTGGCATAAAAGAGAAATGTATAATTTTGACCCATACAATGTATTGTTGGCTATTGCTAAAAGTATACCCCAGCGACTTAAGACTGCTTTTGTGCTGCAGGGTCACATTATGTCATCTAGTTGCCATTGCCATTTTAACTATTTTTTATTAATTCCTAAAACTATAACTAAACTGAAAGTGAAAAGAGAGGCGATGGAGTGAAGTGTGTGTGTTCAGGGGGTGTGAGCGGCGTCTCCGGTGAGGTTCAGGTGGTGGACTCTCCTCTCCTCAAACAGCAGATCGACGTGCAGCGACTCGCCATCAAGCAGCTGAAGAGTGAAAACTACAGACTGAAGGTCAGTGTGAGCCGCTCCACACACTTACGCACACACTCACACTCACACACACACACACACTAGGGGTGTGCGATATATATCCACACACACACAGGTCCAGACTCTGACCTCTGACCCCGACAGGCTGAGAAGATGCGAGCGCAGCTGTCGTCTCTGCCGCCGCTGCAGCCGGTGAACATGACGAAGGAGGCTCCCGCCGGATCTCTGTACCGCAGAACTGACCTGCTGCTGAACAACCTGCTGAAGATGAGCGTCGGCATCAGAGTCGTCGACATCAGCGGGAAAACCTCAGGTCTCAACAAGCAACGCAGATCACTCCCAGTTCAACTAACCACTGAAAACACAAAGCATGCTGCTTTCATTTTCACATTGAGGGGATAATGGGACATTTATCTGAAGAATGCATGTCAGTTTCACTGTTTCCTCTGGCTTTTTGTCAGTCATATTTATTTTTCCTTTTTGGAATAATATATTAACAAAATGAATTACTCTCACTGCGCATCAAAAAAGTGTAAATGTTCAGGAGTTTGGGGTTGGGAAGATTTTGTGTTTTTGAAAGAAGTCTCTTCTGCTCACCAAGGCTGTTTATTTACTCTCTCTCTCTCTCTCTCTCTCTCTCTCTCTCTCTCTCTCTCTCTGAAATTTTTGAAGTGTTTTAGGATTTTGCACTCTCTCTCTCTCTCTCTCTCTCTCTCTCTCTCTCTGAAATTTTGTTTCTTTCCAAAAAACATGTAGTTTTCTCTCTTAAAAATTTTCTCTGATGAAAAATATTTTCTTTCACCCAAAAAAAACATTCTCTTAGAGAACTTTTCTCTTCTAAAAAAACGTTTTCTCCTTAAAAATGTGAGAATTTTTTCTTTCTCTTTAAAAATGTTTTTCACTCCAAAAAAAATACCGCATCTGAAGAGAAGTTTTTAAACTTGACAAAAAAAATTTTGGGGTTTGACTTTTTTAAAAACTTTATTGATGACAGAAAATTAATTTTTGATAAGGGAAAAAAGAAAAAAAAACATTTTTTTGATGAGAATTTTTAAAAAAATGTTTTGATGAGGAAAACAAAACATTTTTTGATAAGAAAAAAATATATGGAAGAGGATTAGGGCCAATCAATAATAATAAAAAAAAAAAAACATCTCGAGATTAAAGTCATTATAATGCAAGATTAAACTCGTTAAATTACAAGAAAAATGTTGAAATAAAATGTTGAGAATTAAATCATTAAATTTCGAGAATAAAGTCGTTGTGTTTCGAGAAAAATCACATTTCGAGAAAAAAGTTGTTTCGAGAAAAAAAGTGGAATGTGTTTCGAGAAAAATCATTACATTTCGAGAAAAAAGTTGTTTCGAGAAAAAAAGTGGAAATTAAATGTTGAGAATAAACTCATTAAATTACGAAAATAAAGTGGAAATAAAATGCTGAGAATGAACACACTGGTGTAATGTTAATTTGATCTCGTTGGACAGTGTTAGCGAGCGTCTGCAGTGGCGCGGGTCACAGAGAGCGATGCTCGAGGATGAAGCATACGATGCGCTCGAATGGAGTTCAAATCTGTCTTTTGCTGAACTCTCTCTTCTTCATTTTTTCATCACATATCACTTCGGATGCTATTTACACTAAGTGAAAATGGTGATATATTCTATTTACACCAAGTGACAACAGCAGCATTTTTAGCGATGTGGTATTTATAGATGATATTTACACTAAGTGAATACAGCGATTCTATTTACGCTATGTAAAAGTAGCAGATCTTTGCAATAAGTCTAAATAGTAATTAGATGCTTTTTGTACTTATAAATAGTGACAGATACTATTTGCACCTCAGTATTGTTGTACATTAACAGGATGCAATAATAACATAGTGTACATGATTTTATTAATTAAAAAATATTAAATAGACGCTCGCTGCCTTATTGGTGCAAAGCCCTCCCTATAGCCTACTAACCTAAACCTACCCAATTGTCCAACGAGATCAAATTAACATTACACCAGTGTGTTCATTCTCAGCATTTTATTTCAACTTTATTCTCGTAATTTAACGAATTTTTTTCTCGAAACACCTTTTTTCTCATAATTTAATGAGTTTCTTTCTAAGCATTTTATTTCAACTTTATTCTCGTAATTTAATGAGTTT